GAGTTTTGAGAGAAGAAGAAGATCTCAACAACAAACCGGGGCCGGTGTCAACGCATACCGAACAACAACAACAACAACAACAACAACAACAACAACAACAACAACAACAATAATTACTAGCACGTGGGGACACACCGTTCTCACCAGTGCCAGGGTTTTCATAGGAGGCGGGCAATACCCCCACTTTGTGGGGGGGCCGGTTCAAGCTCTACCAAATTTCCAAACGACTCTTCGCCACCACCCACACCCAGCTTCCCGCCCTATGACGTTCGGACACTTCACTTCGTGGCATGCGGACGACCGTGGCTACTATTCAGGGCCCCGCGGCCGACGACGACGGCGTGCGCGCGCGAAGAAAAAACGAATGTGTCCCGCATGGTATTATTTGACAGGGATGATGGCCCTGGCAGGTGCGCAACCGTTGTCGCAGAAGTTCGAAAAAGTTGCTCGCAAAAGCCCGTTTGACAGAAATGTTTAAAAAGTGTTGGGTTTCCTACGAATCCGCAAGAGCGCGCGGGATGAAATTTTGACATTTTTTTGAAAAACCATTGGTTTTTTGATGTTTTTATGTTAAAATCGCTACGAAAACTAAGGTTTTGGAAGGATTTCGTCTTGCGCGCGCGAATGTCCACTTTACCTTATTTTTTGCAAGGGATTCTTGAAGTTTGGTTATGTTAGAACAAGAAATGTCCACTTTAGCTTATTTTTTGCAAGGGAAAACCGATCGTAACAACACAACCGGATCCGGACTCCCCCGTTTTGCCTGAGACTTCCTCACGAAAATGATGAAAATGAGGCTGCGGCCTAGGCGCGGCGGGGGGGTCGTGCACCAGGGGCCCCAACAATAATTATTCTTTAGAAGTAATAATGTTCAACAACAACAACAACAACAACAACAACAACAACAACAACAACCAACAACAACAACAACAACAATTACTAGCACGTGGGGACACTCCGTTCTCACCAGTGCCAGGGTTTTCATAGGAGGCGGGCAATACCCCCACTTTGTGGGGGGGCCGGTTCAAGCTCTACCAAATTTCCAAACGACTCTTCGCCACCACCCACACCCAGCTTCCCGCCCTATGACGTTCGGACACTTCACTTCGTGGCATGCGGACGACCGTGGCTACTATTCAGGGCCCCGCGGCCGACGACGACGGCGTGCGCGCGCGAAGAAAAAACGAATGTGTCCCGCATGGTATTATTTGACAGGGATGATGGCCCTGGCAGGTGCGCAACCGTTGTTGCAGAAGTTCGAAAAAGTTGCTCGCAAAAGCCCGTTTGACAGAAATGTTTAAAAAGTGTTGGGTTTCCTACGAATCCGCAAGAGCGCGCGGGATGAGATTTTGACATTTTTTTTGAAAAACCATTGGTTTTTTGATGTTTTTATGTTAAAATCGCTACGAACACTAAGGTTTTGGAAGGATTTCGTCTTGCGCGCGCGAATGTCCACTTTACCTTATTTTTTGCAAGGGATTCTTGAAATTTGATTATATTAGAACAAGAAATGTCATTTTATAGTGTTTTTTGCAAGGGAAAGCGGATTACAACAAAACAACCGGATCTGGATCACATCGTTTTACCTGAGGCTTCCTCACGAAAATGATGAAAATGTGGCTGCGGCCTAGGCGCGGCGAGGGGGGCGTGCACCAGGGGGCCCAACAATAATTATTCTTTAGAAGTAATAATATTCAACAACAACAACAGCAGCAGCAACAACAACAAAAACAAGAACAACAACAAACAAATGGGCACCGGCGAAGGGGGGGTCCATCGTGATCCTTCTCCAGAGACGTGACTTCCACATCCAGACCTCGCACCGCGGAAGCCTCTTGTCGTCGGGCACCCCGGGTGCAGTGAACGACCCTTCGGCCCCCGTCGGTCCCTGAGAAAGCTGCGGCATCGGAGGTCTTGGGCCCTGGCCCAGTGTTAAGCCGGGCTTGTCCCTCTACAGGAGGAACGTTCAAGAATAGTAGAACAAAAATAGTCCGGGGACGATTGTTGACCATTTTTGAATATGTTTGTTGAATGTTTGGGGGTATGTTTTCTTGCTCGTCCAAGATCCGCCTGTACCGGGGGACAGGCCCGACCTGAGCCCAGTGAGGGGACCACCGGGGGGCCCGAGCGCCGCCGTGTGGATGCCCTCGCCGAGCCCTGCCTGATGGACGGGGGCCACGGGCGCCCCCGTGCCGCTCTCGCTGTTCTGTTTTCAGCCCGGGGTGCCGGAGGGCCTCGCGCAGGCCGAGAGGGTGTCGGGAAGGTCTGTCGCCCCCCCCCCCTTTCCCTCCCCCTCCTCCTCCCCTCCCCCCTCCTCCTCCCCCCTCCTCCTCCCCACTCCCCACCTCCCCCCCTCCTCCTCCCCTTTTCCTCCCCCCTCTTCCTCCCCTCCTCCTCCCCTCCTCCCCCCCCTCCTCCTCCTCCCCTCTTCCCTCGCCTCCTCCTCCCCTTCCCCCCTCCTCCTCCCCTCCCTCCCCTTTTCCTCTCCCCCCTCCTCCCCTCTCCCCCCCTCCTCCCCTTCTCCTCCTCTCTCCTCCCCCCCTCCTCCTCCCCCCCTCCTCCTCCCCCTCTCCCCTCCCTCCCTCCTCTCCACAAGACCTCCCCATAGTATTTCAATTCTCGCACCGCCCGCAGGAAAAGATGGGTAAGCCTACAGAAGCCGATGTCTTCGACAGCTACGACGACGACGACGACGACGACGTACGAACGACGACCGACGACCGACGACCGACAACCGACGACCGATGACCGACGACGACGACGACGACGACGACGACGAACGACGAACGACGACGACGACGAGGAACGAGGAACGAGGAACGAGGAACGACGGACGACGACCACGACGACGACGACGGCGGCGAAGACGACGACGATGATGACGAATGACGACCGACGAACGACGACGACGACGACGAACGACGACCGACGAACGACAAACGAGTGACGAGGAACGCCGACGACGACGACAACGACCACGACCACAACGACGACGACGACGACAACGACCTACGACTGACGACCGAAGACGACGACGACGAACGACGAACGACGAACGACGAACGACGACGACGACGACGACGACCGACGAACGACGAACGACGAACGAGTGACGAGGAGCGCCGACGACGACGACGACGACGACGACGACGACGACCACGACCACAACGACGACGACGACGACAACGACCTACGACTGACGACCGAAGACGACGACGACGACGACGACGACGACGACGGCGACGACGACGAACGACGAACGACGCCGACGACGACGACGAACGACGACACACGAACGACGAACGAGTGACGAGGAGCGCCGCCGACGACGACGACGACGACGACGACGACGACGCCGACCGACGACCGACGATCGAAGACGACGACGACGACGAACGACAACCGAGGAAAGAGAAAACGACGAACGAGGAACGACGACGACGACCACGACGACGACGACGACGACGACGACGACGACGACGACGACGACGACGGCCGACCGACGACGACGACGACCGACGACCGACGACGACGACGACGACGATCGACGAACGACGAACGACGAACGACGAACGAGTGACGAGGAACGATGACGACGAGGACGACGACGACGACGTCGACGACGACGACGACGACGAACGACGAACGAGTGACGACGACGACCGACGACAGACGACGGACGAACGACGACCGACGACCGACGACGTCGACGACGACCGACGACCGACGACCGACGACCGACGAACGACGACCGACGACCGACGACGACGACGACGACGACGACGACGACGACGAACGACGAACGAGTGACGAGGAACGATGACGACGACGGACGACGACGACGACGATCGACGACGACAGACGACGGACGATCGACGACCGACGACCGACGACGACGACGACGACCGACGACCGACGACCACGACCGACGACGACGACGACGACGACGACGACGACGACGACGACGACGAACGACGAACGACGAACGAGCAACAAATGACGTCGACGACGACGACGACGACGACGACGACGACGACGACGACGACGACGACGACGACGGCCGACGACGACGACGACCGACGACCGACGACGACGACGACGACGATCGACGAACGACGAACGACGAACGACGAACGAGTGACGAGGAACGATGACGACGAGGACGACGACGACGACGTCGACGACGACGACGACGACGAACGACGAACGAGTGACGACGACGACCGACGACAGACGACGGACGAACGACGACCGACGACCGACGACGACGACGACGACCGACGACCGACGACCGACGACCGACACGACGACCGACGACCGACGACGACGACGACGACGACGACGACGACGACGAACGACGAACGAGTGACGAGGAACGATGACGACGAGGACGACGACGACGACGTCGACGACGACGTCGACCACAATCACGATGACGACGACGACCGACGACAGACGACGGACGATCGACGACCGACGACCGACGACGACGACGACGACCGACGACCGACGACCCACGACCGACGACCGACGACGACGACGACGACGACGACGACGACGACGAACGACGAACGACGAACGAGCAACAAGGAATGACGTCGACGACGACGACGACGACGACGACGACGACGACGACGACGGCGGCGGCGGCGGCGGCGGCGGCTGCGGAGGCGGCGGCGGCGTTGTTTGCGACGACACCTGGAGGTAGGCACCCGCAGGTCCGCTCACAACCGACCACAAGGCCTTCTGTTCCGCGTGATCCCAACCAATCTCCCGAGCGGCGTCCAGCCGAGGCGACGAGGAGGGGGGAGGGCGCCCCGAGGCCCACAGAAGGAGGACGAAGACCACGATGACGACGACGACGACGACGACGAGGAGGGTCCGATAACCTCTGGAGGCCTCCGAAACTCGACGGCGACGACGACGACGACGACGACGACGACGGCGGCGACGACGACGACAACGACGACGACGGCGGCGGCGGCGGCGTCGTCGCCGAGGAGCAGACGCGGATCATCGACGTCCCGCCAGCGGGCCGCTCGGCAGCCGCCGCGGTGGGCCCCGAGCGGCCCGCGCACCTGGAGGGGGCGCCCGTCGCAGCAGGGGACAAGCCGACGGGACCCGTGGTCCTGGCGCCGCCTGGGCCGCCGCGCAGGACGCCGCCGCCCCGCCACAGAGGGGACGACCGCGACGGCGGCGGCGACGGCGGAGGCGATGACGGCGGAGGCGACGGCCTCGACGACGACGACGCCGACGGCGCCGGCGGCGGCGGCGGAGGTGGCGGCGACGACGGCGACGAGGAGGCCGACCGAGGGCTTTCGATGGGTTCGGCCATGTTCGCAGGCCCTTGCTCGGCTGCTGTCGCCTCGGCGCCGCAGCCGGCACAGGGTCCCGCGAGCGCCAGTCGTCCCACACTGTCTCCGTCAGAAGGGCTGGCTGGCCTGGGGGCCGGGTGGGCGAGCTGCCATGGCTGCGTCGGGCGGTCGGTGCAAACCTTACCGCAACTTCGCATGGCGCGCTCGGCGTTGCGTCGGCGCTTGTGGCACCAGACCACTCCCGCTGGTCGCCACAAGCGGTGGGCATGTCTGGTGGCCCTGCGTGCCAGCCAGCTGCCCTCGGAGTGGCGAGGCCGCATGGCCCGCACAGCGTTCGTCCTGGAACGGCGTCGCTTCCGTGGATCTCTTGCCGCACCTCTCGCGCTCCCAATCGCCACCACGACGGCGAACCAAGACAAGCGCCTCGGATGCCTTTGGGAGCAGTTGGAGCCGAGGGGGGCGAGGCGGGGCTGTGTGCCGCCCCGGCGTCTGACAAAGAGCCCTCCGCTTCGTAGACTCTTTCTCTCAGTGAGCTCCGCCATGCAGCTCAAGACGAGCTCCACCTCCTCGGCCTCCGCAAGGCAGGCGCTCGGGGCGAGCTCAAGGATGCATTTGGCACCCCCCAAGGCAACCTGCCCTGCCCGATCGTCAGCCAAAATGCTGACGCAAACACTGCTAGACGCTTCGCGGAACCCCACCAGCGTTTTGTGATGCCTACCACGCCATTTTGGCCGCGTTGAGCCCTGTTCCACCCTGAGCCGGGCGCCGCTCGCTTTGCTGTTTTCCCCTTTGTTTCGGCGCGGTCCGCCCTAGCTTGCACTGCGTTCGACTCGTCTTCGCGCGTCCGCGTACCAACATGATCGACCCACGAACCCTGAAAGGAATGTACAAAAGTAAGGCATGGCAACGTTTCAAAGACACTTGATTGGGCGACGGGCAAACGCAATGCTGAGTGTATCGATGTTGATGTACCGTGCCGAGGGCTGTGCTGTACAGCGCCGTGCTGAAGTGCGATGTGCCATGCCGCGATTGTGCTCTATATAGCGTTGTGGATCGAGTCCTCATGTGCATTGGGTCCTGACCGAACTGATCTGGATCTTACGCTCGAGCTGCCTGAGCCCATAGTAGCTGCTCCAGAGCTAATTGGAAGGGGGACATGCTAGGAGGACGCGCTGCGGAACGTCCCAAGGGACGCGCCGGGCGACGTGCCAGGGGACGTGCCATGGGCACGCACCGCGGGACGTGCCAAGGGGACGCGCTACGGAGCGTGCCAATGGACGTGCCACAGGACGTGCCAGGGGACGCACCGCGCGGCGCCCCAGGGGGACTCGCCACGGGACTCGCCACGGAACGTGCCAAGGAACGCGCCAGGTTACAATGTTGAGTGTATCGGCCTTGGTGTACTGTGCCGACGGCTGTGCTGTGCTGGGCCGTGCTGAACTGCGATGTGCCATGCCGCGATTGTGCTCTTTATAGCGTTGTGGACCGAATCCCCCTTTGCATCCGACTCCTGGCCGAACTGATCTGGATCTTAAGCTCGAGCTGCCTGAGCACATAGTGGCTGCCCCAGAGCTAACTGGCAGGGGAACATGCCAGAAGGACGCGCTGCGGAACGTCCCAAGGGACGCGACAGGTGACGTGCCAGGGGACGTGCCATGGGCACGCACTGCGGGACGTGCCGAGGGGACGCGCTACGGAACGGGCCAATGGACGTGCCACCTCGTGCTAGATAACCGCCTCAGACATCCTCGCAATGTCTTCCCTGGAGAGGCCCCCAAAGCGCCCCCCCTGTCCAAAGCAAGAAAACATCGCTTTTCTATTTTGAGATTTGTGTGCGGGTAGCGTTGTTCAGCCCCCGTGCGTTTCCTGATAATTCGGCGTTGGGCCCGACGCCATGTTGGATACCCCCCCTGGGCGGCCTGGACACGTTCCAGATCGGGACAATCATGTCAGATCCCCCCCTTGGGTGGCCTGGATACGTAAAAACATTAGGTCCCAGCACAGGACCACCATGTTAGATACCTCTCTGGGTGACCTGGACACTTGAAAACACGCGGTTCCAGCGCAGGACCATCATTTTCGATACCCTTTTTCTCGGTAGCCTGAACATGAAATAACACATGGCTCCAGCTCAGGATCACCATGTTAGATACCCCCCTTGTGTGGCCTGGACACATGAAAACACGTGATTCCAGCTCGGGATCACCATGTTAGATACCCCCTCTGATGGCCTGCACATGTAAAAACTCACGGTTTCAGCCCACCAAGGGGGGATATCCAACATGCGGTCGTTTGGGGCGCAAGCGACGGACAACCATGTTGGATACCCCCTCATGCCGACCTGGGCAGTTTTAAACAAGCATTCCGCCTGAGACATCCTCTGAATTCTGGCCCCCCACGAGGCCCCCGCTCGAGACACCCCCCAACTCTGCAAAACCAGCGTTTCGCTCGAGACATCCTCAACACATTCTGAACAACAAGCGTTTCGCTCGAGACATCCTCAAACACAATTTCACCGGCCCTGCGCGACTTCGTTATTTATCGCAAATAATATCGCCGGCCCTACAGCCGTCGATTCCGGAGGTCAACCTCCAAAAAAGAATTCTGGGCTTCAGCCCTTTCCGGGAAAAAGTAACCCCACCAGCCCATCCAGACACGATGCCCAGACGAGGTGCTTTGATCATGGAGGGATGCGAAGCAGCATGCAGTAATTGCTGTGTAAGACGTCGTACCCCAAGAGCGGGAGGATGAGTAGGGGGAGCGGCAGGGCGGGCTCAAGGGGAAGTATGGAGGAGGAAGGAGGAGGACTAGGCGGATGAGGAAGAGGAGGGGAGGGAGGAGGAGGAGGAGGAGGAGGAGGACCAGTGTAAACCCAAGACTCATCAACGATGTTGAGATAAAGCCTCTCTCCAGCCTTCCTCTTCATAGGCCCCTACAAGGAACTGCCTCGCTGGGCGACAACAGTTTGACGACCCTGAAGCATGCCAAAACACCGTTCTCGGGACTTCAACGCGCGGATCCACCCGACCGTTGCTTCCTGACGGTCCTGGCTCGCGCCAGGGCACCATTCCTGGGACTTCAAGAACGCGAACCAACGTAACTGCTGCACCCTCACAATCCCAAATCTTTCAAACAACATGTTTCTGATACGCTGACCATGGGAATCCGTGAAACCCCTGAGCAGTTTTGGAACGAATGCGCGCAGCGCTGAGGCGAGAGCCACATTTTGAAAACGAACAGCCCTCAATCCGTGAGACTCTTACATGTTTAAGACGAGCGTGCGCGGCGCTCAGGCGAGAGTAACAGTTTGAAAACGAACCGCCCTCAATCCGTGAAATGATGGCCAATGTTGAAAACGATTGTGGGCGGCGTTCAGGCGAGAGCCACATTTCGAAAACCGCCCGCCAACAACCCGAGAACGTTTGGCAAATGCTTAAAAACGAACGCACGCGGCGCTATGACGAGAACCACAAAGTGAAGTTTCAGGGTCATTCGTGGTGAGGAAGTCTCAGGCGAAACGCCCAGCCCGTCATTTCGACCGGCCTCGGGGTGCGGCAGGGGGGAGTTGTTTATGAGGAGAAGGAATGGAGGAGGAGGAGGAGGAGGAGGAGGAGGAGGAGGAGGAGGAGGAGGAGGAGGAGGAGAGGAGGAGGAGGAGGAGGAGGAGGAGGAGGAGGGAGTGGAGGGGAGGGAGGAGGAGGAGGAGGGGGGGAGGGGAGGGGGAGGGGGAGGGGGGAGGGAGGAGGGGGGAGGAGAGGAGGAGGAGGAGGAGGAGGAGGGAGGAGGAGGAGAGGAGGAGGAGGAGGAGGAGAGGAAGAGGAGTAGGAGGGAGGAGGAGGAGGAGGAGGAGGAGGAGGAGGAGAGGGAGTAGGAGTAGGAGTAGGAGAAGGAGAAGGAGAAAGAGGCAGGAGGAGGGCGAGCAGAAAGGCCACAGCCCTCTTGGATGCCTTTTCGGGCGCCTTGGAGGACGCTTGGCAGTCCCAGGGGCCTCTTGTGGCGTCTTGGGTGCATCTGCAGGGCCTCGTGGGTCCTCTTGGGGGTCTCTTGGGAGCCTCTTGGAGGCACCTTGGCGGCCTCTTGGGAGCCTCTTCCTTGGAAGCCTCGGAGGCCATCTGAGGGCCATCTCGGAAGAGGTCGATCACCTTAATTTGCGTTGCCCCCCAGGAGGCCAACATGTGGTCAAAACCTTAGTAACATCCATGATTGTGGCCCTGTCGCCGAGGTCTCTTGGGGCGTTTTGGGTATCTCTGGGGGCCTCGTGGGGTCTTGGGAAACTTCTGGGAGCATCTTGGGGCCCTTTTTGGGCCTGCTGGGGACCTATTGGGGCCCTCTTGGGGCACCCTTGCGAGCCTCGGGCGGCATCTCGGGGCCATCTTGGAGGAGATCGATCAAAGGAGGGGGGCTCCTTAATTAGGCCTTCACCCCAGGAGGCCAAAGTGTGGCCGAAACCTTAAAACATTATTGCTTTTGGCCTTCTCGCCGAGACCTCGTGGTGCATCTTGGGTGCATCTGGGGGGTCTCTTGGGGCCTCTTGGGGGTCTCTTGCGAGCCTCCTGGGGTCATCTTGGAGGCCACTGTGGGCCTCCTGGGCACCTTGGGGCCGTCTTGGGGCACCCGGGGTGCTCTTTAATTGGCGTTGCCCCCCCCCCGCTTCAGAAGGCCGCAGAGTGGCCAACACCTGGATCAAATCAATGATTTTGGCCTCCTCGCCAAGGCCATCTTGGACACTCTAACGACCCACGACCCCTCCCCTCCAGGTCCATGGGGAAGGGGGCACGGGGGAGGGACAAGGGAAGAAGGGTGCTGGAAGAGGAAGCTCGCTATAAGCCACTCACGCCCTACAGGGCTGGTGGGATCAGAGACTCGCGGCCTTCTAGCCTGGCCACGGCCGCCGCTGACCCGTGGCTTTTTGCTTTCCCAGAACCCCGACGTCATGACTTTTTCAGGACGTCGACCCCCAAAGGTCTCGACCCATTCCCCGGGACCGGTTTTTCATCCTGAGTCGTTTTTCACGCCCCCGAGGCTCCGTAAGGGCTCCCCCGAAGCCGAACATAGCGAAAAACCTCCCGTCGTGATTTTTGTATGAAGACGACGACGACGACCACGGCGACGACGGCGACGAAATTGTTTGAGAACTCATGGCGCCGAGGGCGATGATATTATTTTGAAAACGCCCAGAAGCTTCCAAAGACCCCGAATAACATAGGAAGACGACGACAGCGACGACGACCACGTCTACGACCACGACCTCGACCACGATGACGACGACAGGCGGTCCCCAGAGGTCCCTGAATGCTTCCAGAGGCCCAAAAGGGCCAGAAACGCATGAAAGAACAACAACCACGACCACGACCAGCACGGCCACGACCACGACGACGACGGCCACGGCGACCACGACGACGACCACGTCCACGACGACGACGACGACGATGACGACGACGACGACGACGACAACGACGACCTCGACCACGACCACAACCACGACCACGGCCACGACGACCACGACGACGGGCACGACGACGTCGTTGACCGCCCCAGGGCCCGAAACGGGCCCCTGGAGGTCCAAACGAGGAAGGCGACGACGTCAACGTCGACCGCGACGCCGACGACGACGACGACGACGCCGACGACGACGCCGCCGACGACGACGACGACGACGACGACGACGACGACGACGACGACGACGACGACGGCAGCGGCGGCGGCGGCGGCGGCGGCGGCGGCGGCGGAGGGCGGAGGGCGGCGGGCGGCGGGCGGCTTCGGCGGGCGGAGTCGGCAGGCGGCCGCGGTGCGCCGGGCCGGGGCCGTGCTCGCTGGGCGGGCTGTTCGAGTGCCCGCAGCTGCTGGAGGCGTCCGGGGCGTCAGCGACGTCGTCGGCGTCGGCGTTCTCGTCGTCGTCGACGGCGGCGTCGTCGTCGGCGGAGCGACGGCGTCGTCGGCGGCGTCGGCGGCGGCGGCGTCGGCGTCGACGTCCTCGTCGTCGTCGTCGACGGCGGCGCCGTCGGCATCGTCGTCGTCGGCGTCGACGTCAACAGTCGGTCGCTCAGATGGCGCGGGCGACGACGTCGACGCCCTCGTCGTCGGGCGACGAAGTCGACGTTGTCGTCGACAGCGGCGCCGTAAACGTCGTCGTTCTCCTGCATCTGTCTCCTTCCCGCCCCCCGGGGGAGGCAGGGAGGGGAGGGGAGGAGAGGAGGAGGAGGTGAGGAGGGGGGAGGAGAGAGCGGAGAGGAATGTGATGTGCAGAAGGATGAGGGGCGGGGAAGACAAGATAGCAGCATACTCTGGGTTTCTTGATAAGCGTGGGGGGGTACCCCCCCGACGGGGTTCAACCTCGCCTCGTCGTCGCGCCGCGATCGCCTGGTCGTCGCGCCGCGACGGGGGTAGGAGCGCCTTCGGCGCGCGGTGGCTGCCCGCGACGGGGTCGATGTGGGGCTGTCGGCGGGGGTTACGCCCTCCCGACGCTTATTAAGGAACTCGGAGTACATAGTACACCCAACCAGTATGAGAGGAGGGGCGAAGAGGTGATTTCGAGGGCCTCTTCTGCTCGTATGACGACATGACTGACTGATCGAGGGATTCCAGAGAACCGTTTTCGCTCACCTGTTTATCCTCCCCCATTGCCCATCTTACTCGTGATCGCTCCTTCTCCTTCGCTTTCCTATTCGTCCTCCATCCATGCTCACCCTCCTGCGCATATATATGCTCTCAGCATCATCACCGTCCTCGTCATCATCCTTACCGCGGTTCCCTCCCCTCTGCCCGTCCTCCGTGCCTTCCCCGTCCTCCTTTCTTTCCCCCCCTCCGCTTCCGAAACGAAGGGACACCGCACGCGCACTTCATCCTCCTCCGCAGCAGTGCCTCCCGGCGGGGAGCGCCGGCGCCGATGGCAAATACGTGCTTCTGGCGCGAGCGCGGGAGCAAGAGCCGCGTTGTCCCGGGCTGCGGGCGGGCGAATGCCATCGACTGCGCGACATGGGTGCGGAAAGAATGGGCGCAATGCCCAACAGCAGTTCCTGCTCATTTTGAACAGGACTCGCTGTCCGCGCCGCCGCCGCCTGTGTCTATTTGAGACAGAAGGCCGCCTGTCCAACAGCGGCCGCTGTTGGTTTGGGACAGCATTTGTCGTTGGGCAGTGTACCAGTTTTTCCGTACCCATTTCGGGCGTCCAAAATGTACATGCCGGTCGTTGAAAGAGTTGGTATGTCTGGATTCCCAGACCCCAATCTACTTCATGCGACTTCCCACTTCAGGGATCGTTGTGCGTCTGCTGTGTCTTGCTATTATTTGGGAGGACCTGGACCCCAACATCCGCCTTCCTACTTCATGCTTTTACCTACTTCTTCCGACCAGCGTGTAAGAGTGACCCTTCGACGGAGTGACCTTTTGTGCGGGCCCACGGAGGTCCCCCGAGCGCCGAACGCGCGAGGCGGCAGAGGAGTCTTGCGCGCTTGTGTTTTGGCGCCCCCGCGGCCCCCCAAATAGCCGCGTCCAAAGGCCACTCCCGCCCATCGGTCGTTGAAGGTAGGCATTTTTGGATCCCCAGATTCCAATCTACTTTGAGCGCCTTCCTAAGGATCGAGTGGCTTCACCTTGTCCGTCCTCTCTAGGGGGCGGGCGGACACCCAATCGATGTTCAACCCCTCCCCACTTCATGTTTCTAACCTACTTCTCCCGCCCGATGGGGCACCCAGGGTCACTCATTGCGTGTAGCCGATGCCAACAGCTGGAAAAGCAACGCGAAGACCCCGCGAAGGATAGAGAGAGGCGCCGGAGGCGCGCGGCGCCACCCGTGGCGATTCCAGCGAAGCCACCAAACAGTGAGGCCCCGAGTGGTCGACGCGGGAGCAATCGTGCGCCAATTCGCGCATGCGCGCCGAGGCCGCAGCCCGGAGCCATTGGATGTGGATCCTGCCCGGCGTCGCTCTCGGGTGGCGGTCGACGCAGCGGCAGTCGCGTCTGATCTGTGCAGTGGGGCCACCACGTCTCGGGCAGGGACCGCCTTGCCAGCTGCTGTGCTGCGCCCTGGGGCACTGGGACCTGGAACGCGCGTCCAGGATCTCAGCACAGCAGCAGGCATGCCTCGTTTGCCCAACGCTCCTGCGAGGGCAGCCTGCGGAAGATTCTCATATCCCCTAAATCGCGCGGAGGTTTCGGGGGCCGGAAAATCTACAGAGCTGACCTGTGCCGATGTTGCCTACTTGCCTTTCGGCTTCCTGGCCTTCTGGCTTTGGTTGTCGCGGTCGCGCGGCGGTGCTTGAGCAGTTGTCATTCGTGTGTTTGTCGGCGTTCGGGCCGCTCGTGCTTTCCTCTCGCCCTGCGCCTCCTTTTGGGGGCTGCGGTGTCTGGGTCCTGGGCCTGTCGTCTGTCTGTCGTCTGTCTGTTTGCTTGTCGTCTGGCCGTCGTCCGTCTGTTGGTCTGTCTGTCCGTCCGTCTGTCCGCTGGCGCTTGGAGAGGGTGCCTTGTCGGGCGGCGCCTGCGGTGTCGTGCGCAGGCCAGGTGCTAGCCCACGAGCTCGCGCGCGAGTGAGGTGCCGGCGAGGTCCCATCCTGATTTTCCCACCCACCCTGGTGCTCTTGCATCGGTGGGCAGCAGGCTGCCTTGCTGAGCTGGGACCCGGAACGCGCGTCCAGGATCTCAGCCCAGCAGCAGGCACGTCTCGTTTGCCCAACTCTCCTGCGAGGGCAGCCTGCGGAAGATTGACGAGGATGGGGGGGGAGTGAGCGAGATGGAGGAGGAGTGGACTGGAGGAGGAGCGGAATAAGGAGGAGTGAAGGTTGAAATGCGGGTCGCGATTGGTTCAGGAGGAGGAGAAGAAGGGGGAGGACAATTCTTCCATCCTCATTTCTCAGGAGGACAACCACTCATCCATTCCACTCCTCCATCCCAGTCCTCCTCCATTCCACTTCTCCATTGCGCTCCCTCCTCCCCCCATTCCCTCTACTCATCCTCCTCCTTCTCCTCCTCCTCCCCCTCCTGCTACTCCTCCTCCTCCTCCTCCTCCTCCTCCCCCTCCTCCTCCCCCCCTCCTCCTCCCCATCCTTTTGTCTCCCCTCCATGCCCTGCTGCATGAGGAGCGGAAGGAGGAGGAGTGAAGAGTAAAAGGCGGGGCGTGATCGGTTCAGGAATGGGGGAGACAGAGAAGGAGCAGGAGGAGGAGGAGGAGGAAAAGGAGGAGGAGGAGGAGGAAGGAGGAGGAGGAGCAGGAGGAGGAGGAGGAGGAGTGAAGGAAGAGGGGCGAGGGGTGATGGGCGGGGTCGAGGAGGAGAAGGAGGAATATTGGGAGGAGGAGGGGGAGGAGGAGGAGGAGGAGGAGGAGGAGCAGGGAACTATGTAGTAGTTGTTGGCTACGGGTCCGTTAATGTGTTGGTCGGTCATCTGCTTTGTAATGTGTTTGATGTGTGTGGTTGTTCTTTGGGTGCGTTCGATTTCTCAACGTCTTCATAAGGCATCTCCTTGGGAGCCCCCCGCAGAGGAATCCGATCTTGAGGCCTTCCAATCGGATCCTTATGTGGTGGTTCAGAGGATTTTTGTGACGCTTGTCAATAGAGACCCCAAGTGGTGTTTTCCACGGAGTTCCTCCTGTGAGGCTTTTCACTGAAAGTGTCCTTTAGCACTTTCCAAAAAAGATGCCTGGTGCGATGCGCTCCAATAAGAGCCCTCAATAGCGTGTTCTAAAGGATTCCTGTGTCAGGCTTTCCCATCGAGTCCCTTTGTAGCGCTTTCCTATAGAATCCCTTCTTAGCGCTTCCCAATCAAATTCCTACGTAGCTGTTTTTTGTTCGTCCCGTACTGTCGCCAACCCCCGAGGTGCATGATATTGGGTGGCGACCTGGTAGATCTGTGCATATATTGAAATACATACATACATACACACATACATACGGACATGTTAACACAAAAAATGGGTAGGGGGTCCCAGGGCCCCCAAAGTGCACTGATTTATCTTCCGGCCGTTTCGGGCCCGGCGGGGGGCGCCAGGAAACGCCCAAGGGGACCGAGAGACGTCCAAGAGGGCGCCAACATGGCCCAAGAGCGCTCCAAGAGAGCCCAAGACCGCACAAGAGCGTCTCTAAATTTGTCCAACATGGGTTGAAGGATGTTTGTGTTGTCGCTGTTTCGTGCTTCCGACGGTCCAAGACAGCCCACGAGGCCGCAGAACTCAGTTCAAGACGGCCCAAGAGGCACCCGAAGAGGGCGCCACGACTGCGCAAGAGAGTCCCAAGACGGCCCAAGAATGCTCCAAGACGGCGCAAGAAGCGCCCAAGATCGCCCAAGGGGGCCCCAAGACGGCCCCAAGAGGGGGAACACGAACCGTCGAGCCTTCCGCCCCAAGAGGCCTCCAGGAGGCCCAAGAGGCCCCCAACAGAGCCCAAAAGGCCCCCTAGAGGCCCCAAAGGGGCCCAAAAAGACACCCCACGAGCACCCCAAACGGCCCCCAAGAGGCTTCCAAAATTGCCGTCAGGAGGCCCCCTGGGAAGCCTCCTGCGAATTCCAAACGAACTTCCAAGAGGTCTTTAACCCACAACCCAGGCACGGTTGCGGGATGGGCCGAAGGCCACCATTGGGAGCGTGAACCGAAAACCCGAGATCTTCGCCCCAGGAGACCCAAGGAAGGGTCAAGAGGTCCCCAAGAAGCTTGGCGACAGATCACCGGTCGACCGGTCGATGAGAGCGGAGGAGGAGAAATGAGGAAGAGGCAAGAGGAAACAGATAATGGTGACGTCATTATTCATGACCGACTTGTTAGCGCGCGATGTTTCTGGTGTATATACGTTTATGAACGTACAGACGTTCCTTGGTTCCTTGGTTTGTTCTCCACGTTGCCTCGCCAGGCAGTGCCAACCGAGCACGACCACACAAGGTGAAGCAATCCCACGCAACGCCAAACAACGCAAAGCAGCAACGCCAAGCAATAGGCCACGCAGCGCCACGCAGTGCCACGCAGTGCACCCATGTAAAAGGAAACGCGCTCCTCGGATTTGGGTCCCGCCATGCTCATTCATCTAATATTCATGTGAACCCTCAACCTGGTCTTCGTTTGAATCATCCGCCAAATAATAGCCTGAATCTTCAATTAAGCGTTCACATTGTACAAGAATTTCTGCTACGTGAAGACACGTTGGCTGATACCCCCCGTGCCAGGCAAAGACATGTCACGAAGTTGGATCCCCAGATCTCATTCGAAAACGGATTCACGCAAGTTTTGAGTGTCTGTCCCCGAGTTGTTGCATTCTCCCCTTTCCGGGCCCCGGTTAGATCGGCCCCAGCACTCGTTGAGCAGCGTAAGCGCCTGTTGTTGCTGCTTGCCCCTCTCGCAAGCGCGGGTCAGCCCGTTGGATATGATGCCGATGGCGCGTCTTCGGCCCTCACGTCCCGCCGAACGACACGCCAGCCAATCACCGTTTCTCCCATCCGCTACAGCTGTCGCCATGGGCATCGGGGGGCGCGAAGAATGAGCAGCTGCTGGTAAGCAATCGGGGTTCTGGCTGGAATCCCGCCTGGCTCGTGTGGGTGACGGTCAGGCACCTCGCCTCGGGTGACAGTGGTGGTGAGGCGCCGCCTCGCCCTGCGTGCCAAGCAAGTTCGCCTTGGCTGGTGCTTCCGCACCTCGTCCTGGAAAAGGGGGGACGCGTGCTCAGAGGACCCAGCAGAGAATCGGACAGCACTTTGGGCAGCGATGGAGCCCGCTGCCGCCTGAACAGCACGCACGCACGCCTGCACGCATGCATCCAGCATGAAGAAGAAACGCCCAGAGCTGATGTCGAATGTCCACTGTCGAGGCCGTGGGTCGCCTGGGCTCCTCGCGCTGGACGTGTTCCCCCAGCAGCGCTTTCCTTTTGGAACCCCTGGTTGTGCTATGCGGGACTGGCCCTGAGCGGCGGCGGCATTGCAGAAGGAAGAAAGTCCCGGGGCCCAGACTTTGGCGCATTCCTGATCGTTTCAAGGCGAGGTGGGTGGCCCGCGTTTGGCCGCCCATCGGTCGCGAGACCCTGGGTTCCCTGTCGAAGGCATCCTTATCTACAGCCTCAACCGTATGTCGTCGTCGGCCGTTCACTCCCCTGGGTCAGTACGGTGTGGGTCGGTATGGTTCGGTTCGGCGTGGCACCGTCGGCCATGCGTGGCGTGGTCCGCCGTCGGCGCGTGGACTATCACGTGCCCGCTGGTGTGTTTGGCCTCCTGTGGGCCCCAACGGCACACGGGTTGCGCACTGAGTTACATCTCGAGTGTATGAGATCAGTCAGGGTAAGATGGCATTTCGCTGCGCGGCATACGCTCTACCCCGTGCTCGTTGCACAAATAAGCTGTGTGTGGGGGGGGCTGACGAGCTGCCATCACCGCGTTCAAGCAGAAGACTAACTACATGATTCAGAACACCCCGAAATCTCATATGTAACCTCCCTCCGCTCACTCTTCCCCCCTCCTCTCAATCCTTTCCCTCCTCCTTTCAATCCCCCCTTCAATTTCCTGTCCTGGCATTCAGTCCCTGCATCCTGTGCATCGAGCCTGCGTGCTACCAGCACGCTTTAAGCCAAAACCTCCCGCTCGCCAACTGTGTCTTGCCTTTCCTACCCCAGCTTCCCCCATCATCCTCTCCTCATCCAGTTCTGGCACTCAGGCCCTACTTCCTGTGCGTCGAGCCTGCGTGCTACCAGCGCGCTTTCAACAAACACCCCCGTTCCCCACATTCTTGCCTTTCCTTCCCCAGCTTCCCCCATCATCCTCTCCCTCGTCCAGCCTCCTTCCCCCCATCCCCACTCCTCCTCATCCTCACCTCCTCTCCCTCGAGGAGGGAGGAATACTTGGAGCGAAGGGAAGCGGAGGAGCAGCAAGACGGCAACAACGACGACGGCGACAACGACGATCTCGGCGTCGACGACGACAACGGCGACGGCGACGGCGACGGCGACGACGACGACGACGACGACGGCCGACAGGTTGCCACCGACAACCTGATGCAGCTGGGCCGCAAGGCTCGGGTGTCGACAGAAGCGCCCCTGGCTCCGGGTCGTTTTGAGGCCTTCAGCGCCCCTCTGGGCCTCGACTGGGGAACCCCCAGGCCCAGCAGAGAACGTGTGAGCGCGAGACAGAGAGAGAGAGGGAGGGAGAAGAGGATGATGATGATGATGATGATGATGATGATGATGATGATGATGAGGAGGAGGAGGAGGAGGAGGAGGAGGAGGAGGAGGAGGAGCAGCAGGAAGAGGAGGAGGAGGAATAGGAGGACGAGCAAGAAGAGGAGGAGGAGGACGAGGATGAGGAGGATGAGGAGGAGGAGAAGGAGGAACAGGAGGACGAGCAAGAGGAGATTACACCCCCGACGTACAACAACAAAGACTGGGGGCCGCTAGGCCCTGGCTGGCATCCCTGGGGGGCGCCCTGGGCTGGGACCACCAATCGGCGGCGCGCCTGTGGAGGGGTGAGCGAGAGGGAGCAGGCCTTCTCAAAAGGCGGCGGGATCCGGTAAAACAGCACTCACGAAGCCGAAAAAAGGCCCGGGGAATGGACGTCCAAGCGATGGGAAGAGAAGCCCCGCGGCCTTCCGAGAAGGGTTGTCCCCTCTCTCCTGGTTGGCCCAAGAGGGGGTCTGGCGAAAAGGGGGTGATGCGCTAGATTTGGTGCAATAGATTTGGGGTGTGCAATACATTCAGCGGCGCAAATGTATTGCTGGACCTTCGCGCGCAACGTCTATTTGCAACACAACGCAGTGCCATGCAATTTTCTGGCGCCGTACATCTGCAATACGATTGCCCCAAATCTATTGCACCACCCCCTTTCAGCTGGACCCCCTTTTTGGGTCACGAGGATCTCTTCTCCCTCTTGGGCTCGCCACCAGACTGCGTGCCCGCCGCCCGCGAGGTCCTGGACGACGCCGACCGCGACCTGGCCGCCCGCATCGTCGCGGAGAGCTTCGGGAACTTCAGCACGCAGCTCCGGGCGTTCGCCCCGCAGGCGGCCGGCGTCGCCGTCGCCGGCTACGTCGAGGAGGAGGAGGAAGAAGGAGGAGGAAGAGGAGCAGGCGGAAGAGGAGATGGAGGAGGAGGAGGAGGAGGAGGAGGAGGAGGAGGAGGAGAGGGAGGAGAGAGGAGAGGGAGTGAGAGGGAGGAGGAGGACGAGTAGGAGGAGGAAGAGGAGACGAGGAAAGAGGAGGAGGAGGAGGAGGAGGAGGAGGAGGAGGAGGAGAGGAAGGAGGAGGAGGAGGAGGAGGAGGAGGGAGGAGGAGGAGGAGGAGGAGGAGGAGGAGGAGGAGGGGTTGGGGGAGGAGCAGGAGGAGGAGGAGGAGAAGGAGGAGGAGGAGGAAGGAGGAGGAGGAGGAGGAGGGGGGAGGAGGAGGAGGGAGGAGGAGGAGGAAGAAGGGAGGAGGAGAAGGAGGTGGAGGAGGAGGACAGGAGGAGGGGAGGAGGGGAGGAGGAGGAGGAGGAGGAGGAGGCGGAGAGAAGGAGGGAGAAGGAGGAGGAGGAGGAGGAGGAGGAGGAGGAGGAGGAGGGGAGGAGGAGGAAGGAGGAGAGAAGAAGGGAGAAAGGAGGAGGAGGAGGAGGAACTGAGGATGAGGAGGAGGTTAGGAGGAGGAGGAGGAGAAGGAGGAGGAGGAGGAGTCGCACCCTCGTGGCGGCGCCTTGGCTGAGTCGTTGGGCAGAGCCACGGAGCCCATCTAATCCATACATACATACATGCATGCATGCATGCATGCATGCATGCATGCATGAATACATACATACATACATACATACATGCATACATACATACATACATACATCCATACATCCATACATAGATATATAGGTACAAACATAGATACATACATACATACATACATACATATATACATAAATACAAACATACATACATACATGCATACACACACATACATCCACACACCCGCATACATATATACATACCTACATACATACATACATACATACGTACATGCATACACGCATACATACATACATACATAGATACATAAATATATATATATATATATACATACATACCTACATACATACATACATGCATACACATACATACATCCACACACCTGCATACATACATACATGCATACATACATACATACAGACATGCATGCATACCTATATATGCATTCATGCATACATATATACAAACATACATATACACATATATACATAAATACAAAAATACAGACACACATACGTACATACACACATATGTAAATGCACACATGCATACATACGTACACATCTATATCTACATGCATGCATACATGCATACATACAGTCATATATACATACATGCATACATGCATGCATACACATATACATACATACATACATGTATGCATGCATAGATACATGCACATATACAAACATATATACATATACACCTATATATATATACACATGCATGAATTCGTGCATGTATGCATGCATGCATGCATGCATACATACATACATACATATATACAGACAGACATGCATGCATACATAAATGCGTGCGTACGTACATACATACCTACGTACATGCATACCTACCTACCGACCTACATATATATATATATGTGTATATACATACACATACATGCATGCGTGCATGCATGCATACATACATACATACATACATATGGATGTTCTGTTCTACGGCCGACCGCCTGCTGGCGAGTTCCCACGGGCACCAGGCTGCGGCGGCGCCTAAGTCCCCGGGCCCGCTCCGCTACTCGCAAAGTCCCAGGCGATCCGTCCTCCTCTTCCTTCATCATAGCACTGTCATACAGCATTCCTACTCCTCCCCTCCTCCTCTCCCTTCCTCCTCCTCCTCCTCTCTCCTCCTCCTCCTCCTCCTCCTTCCTCCTCCTACGCCTCATCCCTCCTTCTTCCTCCCCCTCCTCCTCCGTCTCCTCCTCACCCTCCTCCTCCTCCTCTTCCTCCTTCTCCTCCTCCTCCTCCTCCTCCTCGGGCCGCCTACGGCCCTGGGGGAAACCGTGCAGCGGCACCCCCGTGCGGAGTCAAGTGATCGTTTTTGTTATTCGTCGTTTTGCCGATCGGCGCGGGCCCTCGCACCCCGCTCATCCCCCCCCAATTCGGGGGCCCCCAAACGGGGTGGTGACCAAACCGTGTGGTGAGTCGGTGGGGATTCGGGGTCACCGCACGGTTTTGGGACTCGAGTCCCTCTCCGAGGATGTGTCGGGCGACTGGGGCCTCCAGGGTCCCAAAACCATGCGGTGAGGTCTTGGGGGATTTCGAGGTCACCGCACGGTCTGTCACCGCACCGTTTCGGGATTCCGAAAAAGTGCCTACTCGCAAACGTTCGAACAAAATCTGTTGGCATCGATGTTGTAGACAGTCAACCCGCACAGCAGGGACGGGCAGCCTTCCCCAAGGGTACCCTCGCATCCTTGCCTTGGCCACTTTTCGTTGGCCGCGCCCCGCGGGAAAAGCTCCGAAACGGGCGTCCAAAGCCCTTGCATCCTTATCGCGCATCCTTGCGGTACGGGCCGACTGTATCAGTAAGTCGGGCCTGTCCCTCTACAGGAGGGAGATTCAAACATAGTCAAAAAGTAGTCTGGGGACGACTTGCCTGATATTTGTGGAGTATGTTTAAGAGCATGTTTGGGTATTGACAAGTTTCGTCCCAAAATCTGCCTGTAAGGAAACACGCCCGGCCTAACCCTTGCATCCTTATCAAGCATCCTTACGATACGGGCCGATTGTATCGTGAATCCCCCGCGGTGGATCGAGGGCACCTGCGAGCAGTTATTCCTGCTTGTCGTGGAGCGCGCTCTCGTCTGCCGCAGGAAGGAGGGAAGCCTCGCAGGGAAGTTCGAGAGGTCGGGGGCCACGGCCCGAGGTTCTAGTCGGGCCTGTATTCAACATAGTCCAAAAATTGTATGAGGACGATTCGTTTTACTATGTTTGACTCTTTGTGTGTGTTTTGCTTGCCAAGTGTTTGGATTTTTCTGCTGTGGCTATGTTTGATGATTTCTTGGCTATGTTTGAATAGATTGGGGGTCTGTTTTATTTTTCGTCCAGAATCAGCCTGTAGGGGGACGCGCCCGACCTAACCCAAGGATCAAAACTCGGAGGTCCTTGCCCAAAAGAAACAGCGGCCAGACACGGCAAGGGGATGCTGCAGCGAATTCAGCGGCACCCTAACGGGTACTCACTGATGGGTATTTGTGAGATTGTCCGAAAAATTGCCACGTTGGGGCCTCTTTCTGGCATTGCAGCGTTGCCCACATCGGGGAGGGTTGGGTTCGCCGGGTCACTGGCCAGAGTACCCGTCAGTGGGGTCCCCGTTAGAGGGGCGCTGACGAATGCGAACCCACCAACTCCCCAAGGGTTCAGTTGTTGTTGGCCAGACCGGGCAGGGAACGGCCAGGCAGGTCTGGAGATCCTTAGCGACGCCTGCAATGCCCGCCCAGCCCAGCAGAAGGTGAAGGCGGTGCCCCCTAGGTAATTCAGGAGCTGTTGTTTGGCTTGGAGGGAGAAGAGGGAGCGGACAGCACCACGGCAATGCACCATAGAGGAAGCACCACGGACGTAAAAGTCAACGCCGAGCTATCCGTGACAATTATTGCCTGGGCAGTGTCCGTGCAGAGGGAACGCACGCCAATAGAGCTGGCTCGTGCGGCGGAACCGGACGAGGAGGACCCAGGTCATCTCCTACAGTGGAGACCCATGCCAAGAAACACCCTGCTGGCCTCCAGGGTGCCCTGGGTTTCTTGGGTTTCGATGGTTTTGCGACGGAAGGCGTGACGTTCCCACGCCAAAAACCAATGGGCGTCCTGGTGTCTCAGGCTTGGGTCTCTTGTGGAAGCTTTTTTTGTGGACTGGCATCTGCTGTACCCCCCCACCCGGGAGATGGCTGGGGGACTTGGTCCCTCCGCCCCCAAGGGGGGTCCTCCTCTTCCCTCGCGTCCTCTTCTGCTGCTCCAGGCTCTCGAGTTCGACCCTCCTCCTCCTTCTCCTCCTCCTCCTCCTCCTCCTCCTCCTCCTCCTCCTCCTCCTCCTCCTCCTCCTCCTGGGGGAGGGGCGTGGCAGGCCCTACTTGTTCTGGACCCGAACGCGATCCGCTCCGAGCTCCGAGGAGCATCGTGATGGGGCCGGAACGGACGGGCGCTCAGACCGGCAGCAGTGCCGGCCCATTCGGAACAGGGTTCGCTGCCGGCGTCGCGGAGGAGGAGGAGGAGGAGGAGGAGGAGGAGGAGGAGGAG